TGGTGCCCCTAAATATAGCTATTATCAATTATTGTATTTGCTACATGATTGTTTTTGATCCAATTTTCCGATATCAGATACATAACTTAAGTTTTGTGTGATAACGACTTTTCTTACCCAACATATTGTAATGCTTTGCTTAAACGGGTACATCAAGATTCATGATTGTGTTGTCATAATTTGCAAGTAGATTTCCGCCATATTACTCATGATGTTCATGCATGATCATGATAGGTTGGTGATTTTGGTAATTTCATTGCTTTTTCAGTAAATTCATGGTATCATGAGGATTCTTTTTCATGTGAATTCATTACAGTAGTTCAACCATTAATTCATGGATGAAGTCATCCATGAACCAACATGTAATCATGTTAATGAGAATTCATGATCTAGTAATGCATGTGAAAAATATAGTTTTACTGTAGATGTGGTGTATCCTTAATTGTACTGGTTCCAGGTAATGGCTTCAACGTAACAAACAGAATAAACAGAGCAACAGAGTCCAGTTCAAATATTTATTGTTGGAATCGTGTGTTGGAGTGGGAGGAGGCAAGGAGAGGAATTGTAGTTGATGGATATGGCAAAATAGGGACATGGAGATGGCAGAAGAAGTGGAGGGTGGAGAAACTGGTTGTTCTAGGGAAAAGGGAAATAAGAGCGTCAGAATCTTCTGAGAAAGTAGAACAAAATAGTAGGTAAAACTCACGCAGTTCTCCACATGAAAAAGGGAATCTCCAACCAGCTCAGGAGGATCAAGAAAGAGTAGGTGCCATTAGGCTGTAATTATAGACTTGGGTGGAGCCAGGCACCGCCCAGAGGCGGGCCCAAGACAGGCAAGAGATCAGGGAAAGGAAGGGATTTTTCACAGCCGCCCCCAAATATGTAAGACATATTTGTAATCAAAAAAATAAATAATGTCACAAAGATCCAATCTAGTGATTGCCATCATCCCGGATCTCTGTAAGGGGAACAAGTCTGTTAACAGGGCGTATAAAGGACTTCTCCTTGATCTTGACCTCGGCAACCCTGACTCTGCCGTCTGAGCTGGGAAGAATTTTTGTTACAGTTCCAACTGGCCAGGAAGCTCGTGGGAGCAAGGGGTCGGCTATCATCACAACAGTGTTGGCGGTCAGGTTGGGCTGTTCTACTTTCCACTTCTGCCTTGACTGGAGAGTAGGCAAGTAGTGCTTGATAAAGCTGTTCCAGAACTGATCAGCAAGCACCTGACTATGCCGCCACCTTTTGGTCCCCAGAAGTCGAGTGTCTGTGTAGACAACTTGTGGAAGTGCAGCCTCAAGCCCCCCCATAAGGAGAAGGTTTGGGGTCACAGGCTCTGGGTCTGCAAGAGAAGATGACAAATAACCAAGGGGCCTTGAGTTCAAGATCTCTTCAACCTCAGTGAGCACAGTTCTTAAGACCTCCTCAGTGATCGATTGGGAGCCCAGAATGACCCGCAGGGTTGTCTTAATGGCTCTCACTTCACGTTCCCATACCCCTCCAAAGTGGGGAGCATGTGGAGGGTTCCTCCTGAAGTGGACCTTTCCACTAGCCAGCAGTTCTTGGAGGGGAAGGGCCAGTTCTTTAAAAGCTCTCTGGTTCTCTCGTTCCCCGCCAACAAAGTTGGTACCTTGGTCTGAGATGACTTCAAAGGGGGTACCGCGACAAGCTACGAACCGACGAAAGGACATTAGGAAGCTGTCTGTATCAAGGCTTGTAAGCAGATCAATATGGAGACAACGTGTGGTAAGACATTTGAAAAGAATCCCCCAACGTTTCTCCTGCCTGCGCCCAACCTTCACATGAAAAGGGCCAAAGCAGTCCATTCCAGTGGACCAAAAAGGGGGCTTGAACAGCCGCAATCGGTAGGGGGGAAGGTCTGCCATTCGTGGCGTACGGGGTTTGGATTTCCATTTATGGCATTCCAAACATGACTGCTGTATCTTTTTAATTGCTTGGCGTCCACGTATGATCCAGTAACTCCTACGTAAGCTGGCCAGCACCCTCTCAGAGCCAGGGTGATGTAACTTTCTGTCCACACTCTTGATGAGCAGTTGAGTTATGTGATTGGTTGGGTCAAGGACTATTGGATGAATGGTTTGATAGCTCAAGGCATCGCAATGACGCAGCCTGCCTCCCACTCTTATGATATTAAGGGCTGGATCAAACTCTGGGGAAAGGTTGAGTAGACGACTCTGTAGAGGTATGGGTTTGCCAGATTGTAATAGGGTGTATTCTTCAGGGAAACTTTGCTGCTGGGCATGTTGAAGGAGCATTGTTTCGGCTGAGGAGCGGGCAGGGACTGCAGAGTTTGAAGACACGTATTTCATGGTTTCATTTACCATGTCTTCCCAAGTATGGAATTTCGTGAGATCAGTGGTAACGTTTGTAGAGGTGACTTGAGAGTTACCACAGAAAGCACCTTTTTTTTAGCTCAGATGCATCACAGGACATGCGATTGGGACATGCCGGCCACTGCTCTGCAGGCAATAACAGAAATGGTGGACCCTGGTGCCAGCGATGGGGCGTAGACAGTTCAATTAGTGGTTTGCCCCCCATGTAATATCGTCTGCTGGGTTGTTTGACGTGTCGATGTACCTCCAATCAGAGACATCCGTAAGTTCCAATATTTCGGTGATACAATGAGCCACAAAGATTTTGTATTGGCAAGTCTCTGACTGGAGCCATGCTAGGACAGTAGTAGAATCTGTCCACATTACCAGCCGATCGAGTGGAAGCGTGAGCTCAGATCTCACAAGATGGGCGAGCTGAGCCCCAGAATGAGCAGCACACAGCTCCAAACGAGGTATAGTGATTTGGCGCCGTGGAGCCACCCTTGAGCGAGCCATGATAAAGCAAACTTTAATCTGGTTAGGATGAACAACACGAAGGTAAGCCACAGAACCATAGGCAACCTCTGAGGCATCACAAAACACATGTAACTCTCTGACTACTGGCTGACCATCATCCGTGTCATAGCACCTTGGAAGTCGAATCTTTGCCAACAGGGGTAACTCACACTCCCATGAGTTCCAAGCCCTGACGAAAGCTTCAGGAAGGCAGGGATCATCCCAATGGCGCTTCTTCTCCCACAATTTCTGGATAAGGATTTTGGCTCTGGTTGTAAAAGGGATGAGAAAGCCAATTGGGTCATACTGGCTAGCAAGAACCTTGTAGATATTACGAAGGGTAAGGGTATCATAGGTGACAGGCCGGTTACGCCAGAGTGTCCGAACAACAGTACCAGACTAAACCCAATGCCCCTTCGAATGGTTCACTTCGATCATGACTCAACCAAAGCTCTGTACTCTCTGATCTAGCCTCTCTGGGAAGGTGCTGGGTTACAAAAGGGACATTGCTCATCCACTGCCGTATCTCAAAGCCACCAGATGCAAGCAGGAGTCTTAACCAATCAAGAAGGTGAATGGCTTCTTCCTCTGTAGGGAAACTTTGCAGGCAGTTATCAACGTAAAAGGAATGAAGCACAGATGAGAGGACATCCTCATGGCCAGGCTGATGTTCTCTAACATGACGCTGTACTGCATAGATCGCACAGCAGGGGCTGGATGTGGTGCCAAAAGGCAAGACTTGCCATTCATACACATCGGGTGATGCTTTACGCCTCATATTGCGCCACAAGAAACGGAGTAAAGGACGGTCTTCGGGCAAAAGACGGATCTGGTGAAACATAGCCTTGATATCACCAGAAATGGCGCCTGAATGCTGACGAAACCGTAGCAAAACACCAAGTAAGGAAGGACCAAGCACTGGACCAGGTAAGAGGAGCTTATTCAGATTCTGTCCATTATAGTCAAAGGAGCAGTTGAATACCAATCGGTGTTTTCCATTATGCTCCACAAGATGATGAGGAATGTACCAGGACTCAGGAACAGATGAGATCTCTGCCAATGTCAGCTTCTTGACATACCCAGCCAGGAGTAACTTTGTGATCTCCTCGTTATAGATCTCCTCAAGTTTTGGATTTCTTGACAGTTTTTTCTCAGTGCTTTTGAGAGTGGATAAGACTGATTCTTTGGGAGCCTTGAGCAAAGGGAAATCTGCAATGCGCAGTAAAGGCGTGGAGTAGTGAACACCTCCTAGATCCACTTTTATAGTCCTTCTCTCCAACAACTCCAGGGCATATTTGTCTTGTTTAGATCTCGTGGAGACCTTAGGGTTAAGAAAGGTACGACGTCAAATCTCCAGAGTTTCTCGACTGCATGATACAGGGCAATATTAGGGACATTACAAGATACAAACAATGACTGGACCACTGTGGGTTCACTGGGCTTGACACAAGACTGATCCTGGGGAAGAATGGTTGGACCCTGCAAAGCCCATCCCAAGCGAGTGGACACTGCTGCTGGGCCACCCCCAGGGCCTAAGCGGACCTTGTCAATGGGGCATACAAGGTGTGGATGGTCAGAGCCGATAAGAATAAGGGGCTGTACCTCCCGGAAAGCGTTCAAAGGCAAATTATGGAGGTGTTTGAACCGCTGAAGGACTTGAGGAGGATAGGTCTGGGGGGCCAGGGCAAGTTTATCAGCGGTGAAAGCATTGTTTATGACAAACTTCTTGGTGGTGCTGGAAGCTGGTGAGATGTTGAGACTGTAGCCCCATCCAAGAACTCTGTACCCTGTCGCACGGTTTTCAGAAGCATGGATTCAGCCGCCCCATCAAGACCTAGAGCATGAGCAGCTGTGGATAGGAGCATGGTACGCTCAGAACCATCATCGAGTATGGCGTAAGTGTCAATGTCTCTTCCTCTGTAGCTCAGTCGAACTTCAACCACCTTTAGGAGGACCCTTGATGGGCAGCTAGAGCGGATAAGGCAGGAAGTGCTACGTTCGGTTCTTGACTGGGACTGGTTGACCTCATGGAGCACGCCCAAGTGCTTGCTGTTACATTTAGGACATGTTTTCTTTAGATTACAGTCTGTTGCCCTGTGACCTCTTGCACAACGCCAACAGCGATCATTGTCTCTAATCCATTTTCTGATTGTCTCAGGGGATAGACGACGAAAGTCCGGGCAGACGCTGAGATGGTGGTCTGGGATGCCGCAATATGGACATGCTTGGCGGGGAGTTCCGGACGAGTCGGATGGGTTTGGGGAAGAAGGATGGCTTGTTCCATGCAGGATGGTTGAAGGCTTTTGTGACTTAGTGAAAGTGGGATAGTGAGGTTTAGCTTCTCTGAGGGGGCGTTGTGGGTCACGGGACTGCATAGCTATGGCTTGGTATTCTCCGTCCTCTTCGAGCCAATTAGCGAAGTCAAGGAGATTATAAGGAAGCCCAGGTCTGGATGCACGGCTATATCTGGCATAGTTGGCCACATACTCAGTTGGCAGTTTTCCCAAAAGCTGCTGGACATGTGAGGCACAAGCCAGTTCTGGATCACCCTCATGATTCTCCAATGACTGCAGCATACCTACGAGGGCCCGTACACGGATGGCAAAGTCATTAAAACTCCGGGAGTCACTTGACCGTATGCTGGGAAAATTCAGGATGGAAGAAATCTCCCTCAAGACAAGCTGCTGAGGCTGACCATACCTCTGTTGTAGAGCAGCCATAGCTCGGGTGTACGGTTGGGGGTGATGTGCATACGCCAAAGCCAGGGAACGAGCAGAGTCAAACTTCAAATGGTCTAATAAAAGATGATATTTAAACTGCTCACTCTCCTCAACAGGTACAAGATTTGAAAAGGCCATTTTGAGCATCACAAACTGTTGTGGATCATTGCGAGTGAAAGAAGGAAAGGAAGGTGGCGCGATGTGGTATGTCCTGGGTGGCCGCATAAAGGATTGGGCCTGAAGTGATGGCGGATTGGACAACAATGGCTGGGTAGCATCTCTGTTCAATATACGAGTTGCTGTATAGGGCTGGGTATAGTCAACTAAATGGGCAGTAGGGTGCAACGATGAGTGCCCAGACATAGACAAGCCATAAGGATTTAAAGAGACTTGAGATTGAAGGAAAGATTGCTGCATAGTTTGCTGCGGAAAACCAGAAGCAGCACCCATTAAAGTCTGGGGATGGGGGGGAGGATGTGCATGCAAAGCTGAACTCAAAACTCTCGAAGGAACGCGAGGATTTGAGTCAATAGGGGGCAGCACAGGATGTGACATGGGTGGTTCTGGTCTATGACTCAGATCTCCTGGAGGCTGATTCCCAGTATAACCTTCAGAATAATCATCAGAAGAGTCAGAATCATTGCCACCACAGTCAATGGAGAGCCCACTTGTCTGGGTGCCTTGTGGTCTAAGGTCACACACAGACTGGTGTGACCAGTCTGTGTGTGAGGAGGGGGCTGCAGTGAGCAAGGGATAGCTGCATGTGCACTATAGGGAACATGGTGTGCAGACAATGAACTCTGTAGTTCCTTAACAATGGGAATTGCAGGTTCCAAACGAGCTGTGGCACCTGATAGGGGGGAGATGAACGTGATTTGGAATCATCTTTGCCCACTAGTGACTGTACAGTTTTCCCCAGGTGGAAAATCAAATCCTTAATTTCATCAATCTGTACCTTTAAGTTGTCAATCTCAGCCTTATTTCCACGTGTGGAATCCATTTCCGGGGGCTCTGGAAGAGGAATACTTGGAGGCCTCAAATGAGATGTAGTACAAGGTGGAGTGATACTTGGTAGTGATGTCACATAATCCTTCATATATATGGGGGGTTTTTGGAACGGACAGGTCTTGATGATGAAGATGGAAGTTGCTCCTTGTCCATTAAATTGAAGTAAATCCGGCTCGAAGGACCATGAAAAATATAGTTTTACTGTAGATGTGGTGTATCCTTAATTGTACTGGTTCCAGGTAATGGCTTCAACGTAACAAACAGAATAAACAGAGCAACAGAGTCCAGTTCAAATATTTATTGTTGGAATCGTGTGTTGGAGTGGGAGGAGGCAAGGAGAGGAATTGTAGTTGATGGATATGGCAAAATAGGGACATGGAGATGGCAGAAGAAGTGGAGGGTGGAGAAACTGGTTGTTCTAGGGAAAAGGGGAATAAGAGCGTCAGAATCTTCTGAGAAAGTAGAACAAAATAGTAGGTAAAACTCACAGGCATTTATGCAGTTCTCCACATGAAAAAGGGAATCTCCAACCAGCTCAGGAGGATCAAGAAAGAGCAGGTGCCATTAGGCTGTAATTATAGACTTGGGTGGAGCCAGGCACCGCCCAGAGGCGGGCCCAAGACAGGCAAGAGATCAGGGAAAGGAAGGGATTTTTCACAGCATGAATGTATCATGAACTAATGCATTAATTCATGCATTATAAGATAAGAAGATATTCCTTTATTCGTCTCACAGTGGAGAAATTTCCTGGGAATCATGCATGAACTCATGTACCATTAATATAAAGTGTTACCACATTCCCTGTCTTTTCCTTAATGGGTCTTTTGCAGACCCAGGTCACACCAGTAACAGCTGTCATTTGTGTGGGCATGTGGCTCCACACGAATGCTGTTACTGACCCTCCTCCTGTACTTTTTATTTTAAAGTCCTGAAGGTTCTTGCGACGCTGACCCTGCCGTTGTGTGAGGGGTAGAAGTTCAGTCAGCATAAAACTACAGACCTCAAGTTTCGTCAAGTCAAGTTCAAAATTCAATTTATTTGTACCACACTTAATCACAACAGAAGTCACCGTGGAGGACTTAACAATGTTGTTGATTCACCAAGAAAAGATCAGAGAATCAAAAAATGCAATAACAAACACATAGGAGCCATTGGTACATGGGGAGCGGGATTACAAAGGAACAGCAAGTTGCCTAAGGTAGTTAACCCTTTAGGCGCTGGAGTTTTTAAGAAAATATAAAATTTTGATTTCAAAAACTTTAAAATGATTTGAGATAAAGGCATACTGTAAATTAGAAAAATCTTCAGTTTAAAACTGCACTTTGTGTGCTGGGCCCCGGGCAGCACAGAGCAGGACAGGAGTAGACTCAACAAGCTGGTCAGGAGGGCCAGCTCCACTCTGGGCTGCCCCCTGGACTCTGAGGAGGTGAGGGACAGGAGGGTGCTAGTCAAAGCCACCTCCATCATGGACAATACCTCCCACCCACTGCACAGGACTGTAGAGGAGCTCCTTCAGTGGAAGACCGAGACACCCTCATTGCAAGAAGGAGCGCTAGTGCAGGCCTTTATCCCCACCGCTGTCAGACTGAACAATAAGTCACTTTAAGTCACTTGAACTGAAAAAAATCCGCACTACTATTGCCACTGTTTCTTAATTGCAATTTTTATTGTACATAATATATCCTGCATTAAACATGTTTGCACACATCTTTTTTAGCAGATGTGACATGTAAATTTCTCCTTTGTGAGATCAAAAGTCTATCTAATCTCATCTTAATTTACTCTAAAACCTTCAATAAACCACACCCACAAATGATGCTCAGATTAAAGGCACACATGTCCACTATCCCCTGGTGAAAATTATTAAAGGTCCCATATTCCACTTTTCTTCATGTTTCAGTCAATCCTATACACGTGTGATAATAATTTCAACAATCTGTTAACAATCAGATCAGGTAAAGTCTGCATGAAATATTGTATTAAGCTTTACTCTTGACCAGGTAAAGTTTACTCACAATAAATGATAAAACCTTACTCCAGTGCGAATTAAAGTTTACCAATATAAATTAGAAAAACATAACTCATTGTTAATGTGTAAAGTCTACTTACAATTATTGATAAAACCCTACTTTTTGCCAATTACACTTTACTCATTTAGGTTACTAAAATCGTACCCTTGCACATTTGTTTAAGGTTACTTTGAAGTATTTATTAAGAGCTACTGTCGCCCTGTACCATATCTCAGTCCTCTATATAAAGAAAGGTTTACCTTGTATGAATAATGCAACCTTGATCTTTACACGCTAACATGGATTTTAAAATTATTACACCTTATAACCTGGTTAATGAAACTTGTAGGTTCTTAGGTTCATGTGTGTAGCTCTACAATTATCTTAGTGTGTAAACGAGGGTGGAATGAGACTTTCTGGTGTGTAAACTATTTTTTTAAGCAGCGATGACAACTGTCTTTTTTCGTGTGACTAGTGAGCTGTCAATCACAGCACAGACCACGCCCAACTCTCATCCCCCTTGTCCCTTTGTCCTCCAGGGAACACCCGGTTTAGAGAAAATTTTCGAATGTTCATGAGGGCGGAGTCAGGCTGGGCACAGGTGTTTAGTCGCTCTTTAGAAAGTACTGTGTAGTTTTTTGCTCTATTAAAATAGGACAGTCGCCATCTGCTGGATATCCAAGGAAACTGCACACTCACCAAAATGAACAGCACGAGAGACAACTTCTTAAAAACACATTCACATTTATTAAGCTTGTGTTTTTGTAGAGTTTAAACTTCTCTGCCGATTTATGGTAGCTAATATTAAGCTTTTCCATGACACTTTTAAAATTGTGTCTATGAGATAGATAACAGACAACCCCCCAGCTCGTAATGCAATATCGTATAGCGCAAGTAGCGAATGACAAGACGAGAGTACAGAGATGAGACAGACGAGAGAGATCGGCCAATACACTTGATTGAAACCAGCACCTACCAAACTTGTCTTGCACTCGCTGGGGTCATCTCCAAGAATAACTGCCAAGCCATCGATGATGACACGTCGTTGCTCAGTTACATCATTGGCCTAAATTTAGAATATGAATTATGTCTTGTACAACAGTACCAGTGTTGTGCGTGAACGAGTTCAAAAGAATGCGTTCATTGAACACGCTAATTTTTTTGTGAACGGTGAACTGAACGCAACACATTTTTTAATAAAGGACTTGAACGTGAATTAGTTCACATTATGTGTCATGAACGGCAGACATCACTATCAACGTTGGAATTTGTTTTCTCTTTTGAAACGCAACGAGAGAAAGTGTACAACATTATATATATATATATATATATATATATATATATATATATATATATATAGTAATTTCTAGCTCGTAGTGTGAAAAAAAGTATTTATTTGAATATCTCACGAAAAAAGTTAAATGAACTGAACTTTGAACTAGTTCAGAATTAAAATTGTGAACTTTGAACGTGAACGGTTCACTTTGAGCATGTATGAACTGAACTTGAACTAGTTCAGAAATGTTGTGAACTGGCACATCACTGAACAGTATATGATAGAGGTTGCTTAAAAATAAATCACTTACGAGATTCTGCCTTTGCAATATTTTTGATAGTTTCTGTCCAACGACACCTGTTTTTGTTTGGAACATTTCTTGCACTATGTCGGTCCATAGAATCAAAAAAGTCTATTTCTATATTTTTGCTAGTTATTCTAGCAAACTCAGAGTAGACCTATAAAACACAAAATAATTGGATAATTGGACACGTGGCATACATTCAACTTAACGGTCTTTCAGTGAAGAGTGCTGGCCATCTTTCAAGCAGGTCTTTGACTGGGGGTTCAGTCTTGATAATTTATTTTCTACGAATAGAAAAAGTCTGTTCCATCAGCGTAGTGATAAGAATGCAATCGTGTTTATTTTTTGACATTTGACATCTGATTAATAATCTTGCTTTGCAAATTCTCTCCATCAGGCAAAAAGTTAGCTTCGCCTTTTCTGGGGCGTTTGAGA